ATTATAGTTTACATTTATTGTTTTAAAACAATTTGAATTAAATTCTTTATTTTTTATTGTATAGTGTTTTGGGTTTTCCAATAAAAGTAACTCATTAATGGTACAGAGCTCACTTCAACTTTCCCTGGCACATATAATTTAAAATAACTTTCATATTTTTGAGGATAATAGAGAATGACAATTTATTTTAAGTCATTTTTCAACTATTAATGATTATTCTGGTATAATCAATATATTTTCTATATATTCCGAAAAATATACACAGTGTGACCAACCGTTCTTTATTGGAGAGGACAGTCCCCTATTCCGGGTGTCTGTCCTCTGTGCTTTAAATTAGAAATAGTGGACATTGAATGTCCTTTAATTGTGAATATTATAAAATGCTTTATTTAGAAAAATAATTGCAACATACAACTGCTATGTAAATTGCAGTTCACATTATAATCATAATAAAATACATTATCATTTAACTAAATTTCATTTAAGTGCAACAAAATTTATATGAAAATATGTAAAAAAAACTAATTACAAAATTAGTCAACAATTTCTGTTGTTCGTGAGATTAGCAGAAAAAATACTTACAAAAAATTGTAATACAATTCCACTATAAAATATGTTGTCCATTATTTGTCCTCTATTTATTCAATTATTTTATCAAAATGGCCACTAATTACGAAAGTTGTTACACTGAATATACATTGATATATAATTATTATGTCAAAATAGGTTTATTAAATTGCTAGAATATAAAACTAGTACAGGTAAGTTGTATAATTATTGGCAATAAACATTAGGCCAATCTAAAGAATAAATGATTTTCAATAATGATTTTAATGATAGACATAAAAAATAATCTCGCCCGATACTAAACATTAACAATTTGGTTACAAAACCCTAAACCTAAGTAATATATTAACTAAAGCCTATTATTATACATTATTATACATGTGACATTTATATTTTTGAAGGTTAAGTAATATGAAAGACAAATGTTTGTTATAAAACAAGTAAAAATATTATTATTATATATTCTCCCTAATTATTGAAACAAGTACGCTATTTAAATTGTTGAAACTAATATTAAAGTAAATTCATTTTCTAAATAATCTAAACAATGCAAAATATATAAATGACTGACATATTAATGAACTATTATTTGCATGACTATTGGACCCATGAGTCCGACCCGCGGACCCGACACTATTGGCTGACCCGTGGAGGGCCGCTACCGGTCCTGACATTCATGTCTCTATGGCTGCTGTTTGTGACCAAAATAGGGCCCAAACTGATGGCAAACCGGAAGCCGTTTAGCTTACGATGGCTTATGTTTGCCTACAATATACTGATGGCCGCCACTAACGCCTACTTTTTTGTAATGTGTTTCAAATTGATAGACTTTGGACGACTCGTAACAGATTTCCAGTTCCCGTCCCGCGAGGATACCAGCCCTCAAACCCTGAGATACATCGACGTGGGAATGGTCTACGGGTACACCAAATACATAGACTTATTGGACACCGTATTCCTGGTGTTACGCAAAAAGGAGTCTCACCTGACATTCCTTCACCTCTACCACCACTTCATGGTCCCAATATTCGGATGGCTTGGCGCTAAAGTGGCGCCTACCTGTCCATCAATAGCCATCTTTGCGCTACACAACACACCCGTCCACACAATGATGTACTCGTATTACGCGTTGTCGGCGTTGGGACCGACTGTCCACCGGTTCTTGTGGTGGAAACGGTATATAACTGTCGCTCAGATCATACAGTTTGTCCTATTCTTGTCGTACGCCATAATCAGTGCTTTTCTGAATACAGGCTATCCATCGGTTCTCTATTGGTTCGTTTGGATTCAAATTCCGTTGTTTTTATATATGTTTGTAAACTTTTACCGCAAATCCTATGTTAAGTCTAATGGTATTAAAAAAGTTTTATAAGTTGTCACAATATCATAAACTACTCTAGAATTATAAAATTATAAAAATTGTATTTCACATATTCATAATTTTATAAGTTTATTGTAAATCTCTTAATATCTCCTAATGAATGACCTAGATTATATTTACCTAGACAATTGTCTTAATTACATTTCTTTATTTTTATATTTATTACCAGTATAACCTTTTTGGTAGAAATTATAAAACATTACAAAAAATAGAGAATTTTGTCTATAGTTTTGACGACACTATAAAACCAATCCATGGGATAACCCGTCTGTTTGTAATACAATAGACACCCATATGTGCCGCAAATGACAAACTGTGCGATTTGTAGGACAGTTATGTAGCGCTTCCTTCGCAGGTAAGGCCTAACTCTTGGCCCTAACGCCGCCAACGCGTAATACCCGTACTTTAGAGTATGGATACCGGTGTTGATCAACACAAACATACCTACATTTGCGATACCACTAACATATGGGTATCATTGCGCTCTATTTAAAGGACTTAGTTCAATAGTTGGTTTCAAAAATGCACTGTTATATAACATTAAAATTATGATGCTGATAAATATCTGAAAACTTGTCTTTAAAATATTTAAATAAATTAAACATCTCATTTATGAAATGCAATAATTTCATGTTTTTTTATTAGTGAATATATCCTTGGTCACTATTGATATGCAGTACAAATAATAGTTGGATATTTCAATAACTTAAGATACATTATTGAATTAATATTTAATTATAGAATTTTTTTGTATAAACAATAAATTGGCGTTTAATAAACTCAATATGAAATACAGAATTAAAAACTGTAACAATAAGAGATAAATATGAATAAAAGACAATTGCAAGTCATTTATGACATTAACGGTGTGCATCACATGGCATTACAATGCAAACCCGGGTACTGTTTATATCATAGTCAGAAAGCAGCGATTTAATTATAACAATAAGCAATGTCAATATAACAATATACGGTTGTTTTATACGAGTATTTTATGTTTATAGGGTATATCGGGAATTATTTCAATTTGTATTATAATATGAAGTGAAATACTTCAGTTTACAGTTTGCTTTCACAGACACAACGGGCGTTTCAGAATTGGGCGAATCATATATCAGTCGATAGAAAATAGAATCAATTGAAGCAATCTTTCTGAAAGTTAACAAATAATAATTAAGTTTAGGTTATATAGTTTTACTTAAGTATGTTACCTATACTTATGATGCAGCGTGCACAAAATACGTACGCAAAATTTTGGGTAAAAATTGACTCCCCCTCATCGCCATCTTATATAGGAATTTAACATGGTGACATACGCTTTTGCATAACCACCTCCCCCTACCAGTTGGTATGTACTTTGTGCACGCCACCTAATCAATATTTTTAGACTGCGTTAATAGTTTTTCACATTGATTTTATTTTCTATCTTTAATGTCAGTAAAGTTTATAAAGTAGAATATATAGAAATAATCACATATTTGAGGTTCTAGAAATATAATTTTTAATTTTAACTTTGTTTGCACTATTATCATTATTTTATGAAAAATGTATTGAAGATTAAATTTGTTATCATTAAATCATTTGATTTGTACTAATCTGGTAAAAAACTAACCAAAATCTATATTAATATTTATAAGGCTACACAAAAATTAAAATATATAAAAATATATCTGAGAAAGCAATCCAAAAGCAAGTTCGTAACAAAAGCTTTAATTCTATCTTTAAATATTGCTTTCATTAAAAGTTTGGAATTTATTAACAATTTTATATACTATAGTATTAATGCAATAAACTAGTGCAATAGACTGGTGCAATAAAATTATTTATTGCAAAACAAAACCAAATGATATATTATCATGTAATACTAGGTTTAAATCAAATGTGTATAATTTATTTATATATAATACTTAAATACATATGCCAGAAATCTATTAGGTAATTATGTCATTTTTTAAGTCATTTTTTATTTTTCAATAAAATTTTTATTTCATAAGTAAATGGTATATTATTAATAAAGTCTAATTGAAAAATAAATGCATTTATTGACATTATATTGATCAATGTCATTTGAGTAATTTAGATATCTCAAATATTAGACAAGTTTTAATGATCCACCTAAATTATTGAATGATAAAATTTTTAATATTTCGAAATATGTTTATAAGATAAGGTTAATAAATTTATGAATATTGAGTATAAACATAAGAATACCATTTTTTTCTTGCATACTATATACTATATATAAATTTATATACACGTATTTATAATAACCTTCTATTACTTAACCTTCAAAAAGTTAAATGTCACATGTATAATAAAAAGGAATTTGTAATTTAATTGTTACTGGTTATTAGCGGGCGAGGTTAGTTTTATGTATATCATTAAAGTACTATTGAAAAAACATTTATTCTTTAGATTGGCTTAATGTTTATTGCCAATACATAATTATACAATTTACTTGTTCTATATTCTAGGGTTTAATAAATATATTCTTGGCATAATTATTCCATAACAATGTATATGTTTCGGAATATATAGAATATATATATACAAGATTAATCATTACTAGTTGAAAAATAATTTAAAATAAATTATGTCATTCTCTATAGCTTTCAAAAAATGAAAATTATTTTATAATTATATTAATAATAATGCTGCAAACTTTAATTCATATAAATTTATAAAATTCATATTAAATTATTATGAAAATACTGTATTTTATTTTCTGTATAAATCGTATTTATTACAAATTTTGATTTTAGAAATTATAACATACGATCCGGATGATTGTGTTCATCAACACCGGTATCCATACTCTTATATACGGGTATATAAGCGTTGGTGGCGTTAGGGCCCAGAGTTAGGCCATACCTGCGATGGAAGCGCAACCTACCTCTCCTAAGAATCGTACAGTTTGTCATTTGAGGCACATATGGGTGTCTATTGTATTTGAAATAAATAGTTTCGTTGTCCGACAGAATAAACTGTTTTTGTTGTTATGTTTTATGATTTCTATGTATTTCTTAATGTATTATAAAATAAATATTCAGTTATTTATTAACATTATCCTACAAACATATTTCGACACATTTGAAATGTTATCATTCAATAATTTAGGTGGATCATTAAACTTATCTAATATTTGCGATATCGTAATTACTTGAATGACATTGATCAATAAAATGTCAATAAATGCATTTTTTATTAGATTAATAAAAAAAGTAGATTTCATATTTTATTTAAGCTATATGTTTTACACAATAAATATAATATATCAAGATCAATAATCTGAATAACACCAATATATCAATAACAATTGAGTACTAACTTATTTGAAATATTATTATCAATAATAATAGAAATCAATAAGTTATTTCTATTGATGGCAATCTTAATTATTCAAATAATTATCAAATAAATTTATGATATTTAATCGGCAAGGACCAGGACAAGTATATCGATATATACAATGTACTTATTTAATGTGATTCTTTTTATTTTTATACAATTAGATTGCTTTTAATTAAATAATAAATGTTTTTTTTGTATTAATAATTACATATTATAATTATGTATATAAAAATAACACACACACACACGCCCGGCCGACCTGACATCCAGTGTGACCAACTGTCCTCTATTGGAGAGGACAGTCCTCTATGTTTTAAGAGAGAACATTGTGTGTTGACATTGAATGTCCTTTATTTGTAAAAATTATAAAATGCCTTATTTAGAAAAATAATTAAAGCATAAAACTGCTATAAACTGTATTTCACATTATAATCATAATAAAATACATTATCGTTAAATTATATTTAAGTGGAGCAAATTTATAGGAAATTATGTAAAAAAACTAATAACAAGACTAGTCAACAATTTCTGTTGTTCGTGAGATCAGCAGAAAAAATATTTTCAAAAAATTGTAATTCAATTTCACTATAAAATATGTTGTCCACTATTTATTCAATTATTTTATCAAAATGTCCACTAAATACAAACTTGAGTTGGTCACACTACTGACATCCCTGGTCAGCACCGGTATTACCGATACTACACGGGAATGAAGGCAACAAAATAATTAATGTTGTTAATTAAACTGTATATTAATAATTACATATAATTATGATTATTTATATAAATAATTTTAAACTGTATGTTTCATAAAATTTTAATTAATTTTAATTTTCTATAACCAAAGTAATTAATTTTTCAAAACTCTAATGATTTTATTTAAAATATTAAAAATTATTTTAAAAATAAACATATTAATTAAATCAATTTTTATAATATTATAATTTAATAGTGTATAGTAAAGTGAAACCTTTATAAAACTTTTTTAATACGATTAGACTTAACATAAGATTTGCGGTAAAAGTTTATAAACATATACGTATAAAAAGATCGGATTTTGAATCCAAACGAACTAATAGATAACCGATGGATAGCCTGTACTCAGAAAAGCACTGATTATGGCGTACGACAAGAATAGGACAAACTGTAGGATCTGTGCGACAGTTATATACCGTTTCCACCACAAGAACCGGTGGACAGTCGGTCCCAACGCCGACAACGCGTAATACGAGTACATCATTGTGTGGACGGGTGTGTTGAGTAGCGCAAAGATGGCTATTGGTGGACAGGTAGGCGCAAACTTCATAGTCAGCCAGGTCAGTATGGGGACCATGAAGTGGTGGTAGAGGTGCAGGAATGTCAGGTGAGACTCCTTTTTGCGTAACACGAAGAATATGGTGTCCATTAAGTCCATGTATTTGGTGTACGTGTAGACCATCACCTCTTCGATCTGTTGTAAGGCTTGAGGACTGGTATCCTCGCGGGAAGGGAACTGGAACTCCAGTAGTCGTCGGCCGAAGTTCAGCCATTTGATGGACAGTAAGAAAAAGTATGCATTAGTGCCGGTCATCAGTACATTTTAGGCAAACATAAGCCATCATAAGCTAAACGGCTTCGGGTTTGCCATCAGTTTGGGTCCTATTTTCGTTACAAACAGCAGCCATAGAGACATGAATGTCAGCACCGGTAGCGGCCCGGTTTATTTTATACCTGTTTTATTGTTATACACCTTTACCTGTATTTTCAAAATACATAGAGAAAATTAATTTTTAACCTAGAAAATTCTGTGCACAAGATACAGTATCGATGCAAACAAATAACTTTTAGTATTTTGAAAGACAATTCTAACAAAGTGGAGATTACCGAGATCCATTACGTCGTTGCTGAGATTAATGGATTTAAAATCATAAAAAATTCACAAATAAAGAATTTTTAAAAATCAATAAAGCAAAATTTCTCAATATCCAAAAATCAGATCTTACCTACATCTTACAGTTTTTGAGCTATTGATGGACAGGCCTATCTACCGTTCCCCTTATGCCACAATAAAATTGGGGATACCAATGGATCGGTGCCAAAAAACAATAGTTGCAAAAAATTTTATTTTGTCCTAACTCTATTTAACGATTTTTGATGCTAAATAAACCATTTACCACCCTTTTGGCGAAAGCTTTTTTCCCGAATAATTGACACAAAACATAGACATTTTATAGACTATAACCTTGAAGAAATTGAAAATTATTATATTAATAGCACTGCAATACTTGCCATTACATTATGTTAGATTGATTCATTGTATAGATCGCTTGCAAAGTGATTTATATTGATTTGTATATTGCTTTACATTGATCAAATACAATTTCGACTGAATTATATGGAGAACATTTCAGGATCAAGTCACAGTATAGTAAGGTATAATAATTATCTATATATCACGTTGATAAAGGTTATCTTTCTATTTTATTTATACAAGAGAATATATTTAAAGTATTCCGGTAAATTTGTTTGTCATTTTATTAAAACACGTTTTTAACATAAAATATAATTAATATTTTTTTTATATAAATTCATAGTGTTAAACATGGGAGTCAGTTTGATTTTATGAAAAATGTATTGAAGATTAAATTTGTTATCATTAAATCATTTGATTTGTACTAATCTGGTAAAAAACTAACCAAAATCTATATTAATATTTATAAGGCTACACAAAAATTAAAATATAT